TATATATATAACGAATCATTATTTTTAATTACGACTAGTTGAGTTGTCTAGCTCGTTTTCACAATATTGTATCAGAGTCTCTTTGAGTATAATATGTCGACCGTTAAAAATGATTCTGATGAATAACTGTACTATTTTCGTTTTTCATCCCGGACAATGACTGGTTAATAACGGTTGATGCCGGTTCGTCGTGCAGCTTAGCACCGTACATCGTAATTTTACGGACTTGTAATTTTATTGCATGGCTTAATTATATGTAACGTTACTCAAAGCTTCGACACGGCTCTCGGTCATTTTGATCTTTATACGTAATAAAATGAGTGACGAGATTTCTAGGAATACTATGTATTCTATTTTCCTGCTTACATATATTTTGTCTTTTTTTCTCCGTTTTTTATTTTCACAATTTTACGATTTATAGAATTACATTTAAATTACGCAGCAATAAACGCGTATTAAAATGAAAATATTATTGGTCAGAATAGTCTCAGAATACTATAGGAATTTTTTTTTTTACTTGAATTAAGTTTATATGAATATTATTTTAACAGAATTTTAGTTCGAAAAAGAGCTGAAGTATTCAAATAAACCTTAGAAAAAATTGAATTATGAACAGTCAAATTTAATTTAATGACAACTTGTCTTTAAATTAATTGAATTTAATTACTTACCGATTAGTGCCAGCACCAAGCGTTTATTTATTATCGATTAGCTGTAATATGTTGATATAAATAAGTAATCGATAGGGTCTTAGAGAGGGCAGTGCGCCTTTAATTGATAACCCGATTAATTATGCATTCGGACTTTGAGCGCAACACCACTTGGTCAGCTCAAACAAGGGTGGCAAACCGTCCGGAATGCGGCATGCAAAGTGCAGCTTGCGTGCGAAACGGCTGTGACTAACGTAGCTTTCGCTAAAAGCGCTTAAATTTATAATGGTCCGGCGTTATCGGTCGGTCGTTCGCAAACAGCGCGACAGACCGAATTTAAGGATATACCGAAAGAGATTTCGTTTACGCGAAAAAATGTTCCGCCTCGTATTTACTGAAATTGATTGCCGTGACTCGCGACGATTGCGACTTTTTGTTGAATATTTTATTTCTATTGATCTAAGATTATATATGTAATATGGTTGACACATTTGCTTCAAAATATTTAATAATTTTCTACACATAGTATATAGATAGCGGGAAATACAGGTGATATTTTTTTTTCGAAAAATTTCTATGCAATAATGAAAATGCATTTATGATGTCTAACAAAATATGTATACGATAGTCTTCTACCATTTTCATCACGATCTATCTCGCTTTTTATCGCGTACTTTATGCTTATATCTTGAGAACGTGCACCGGGAGCACTCGGGAAATGATGTGATTAAGACCTAACTCCGAAAAGCAAAGTCTATTCGCTCTCCTTTTTTTATCAGTTTGCCACGATATTACAATGGGAAAAGAAATTATGGGAAGTTATAACTGTGATTCGTATCGCACGCGGAAAAAAGAGAGAGAGGAAAAGACAGAGAGAGAGAGAGAGAAATGTAAGACGCGAAAAAATTGTAAAGAGATTCGACGGTCGTCAAGGGAGCGGCAACTTCTCGCGAAGTCGCGGCTTCAGCATGAGAGTCGTTAACGACACCCCGTGCGGCTTTAAGAACTAATATTTCCATCATTGTTAGTTTTTATGACGTGCCAGAGTCGCGGCTCGTATCGTTCGCCTCTAAAGAAAACGTGCGCCCGTCGTTGTCGAGACTCGGTTCGGACGGCTTAGCCTGAATACGTAATAGCAGGACTTTTAGCGAAAATGTACGCATGGACATAAAATAGAAAGTAAAAAAATTATATTTTATAATCAGGGACCATCTCCTAATTAAATAAAAATAAAAATATCGGTCCGAATCGAGTTGAAAGAAAGTCATATCGGAATATTCTATTAAAACTCGCTTAAGCTTTTTCTATGAATTCAAAATATATTATATATAATTAAACATGTGTACCATTATAATTATA